AAGTATTTGAAATCTCTTCAGCATGGGCAGTGGGGGATGCATGCCTCTTCTGGCTGCTCTCCTGAGGCTGAGACTGGTGATGACTTGCTCACTTCAGCTAGACTCCAGTCTAGCTTGAGTTTCATAGGGAACCCAGGTCTCTAATCAAACAAACATAAAAAACAAACACACAAATAAAACCTCCTAAAATCCAAACCAAATTCTTTTCTTCCAGGCACATGGTAAACTCCAGTTGCTCTGCAGTGTAGCTGAGTTCATAACTGTGAAACTGGTCCACTGACCAAGTTCCTTTCCATTTGCCAGGGTCTGGGAACTCTGATCCTCTCTGCTTCTAGGAGATGGGCTGGCATTTGTTTGTGACAGGGCCCAGGCTGGCCTCAGACTGACCATGTAGCCTAGGGTGACCTTGAACCGCTGACCATCCTCCCGTTCTCTCAGAGTTTCAGAGTCCCCACATGACTGAGGCCTTGCTGTGTTTCTCTCCGGACCTGGCTTCCTTCATTTAATGCTGTGTTCCTGGGTCCATCACCACTTCCCCTGCATGTGACAGGAACTCACCCTTCGGCTCAGCCTCCTTCCCTAAAGCAGTTGTCCTGGCTCTGCTTGTCGAGGCTTCTTGTTCTGAGGGACAGGGTTGTGTCAGCCCTTCTACCTCCAAGCTTGGGATAATGGCAGAGTCCTGAACCCCAGGCAGATCTCAGAAATTCCAACTACTTCCTGAGTTTCTTTCAAGATTGTTCCCTGAGCCTGGCCTCCACGGTGATGGGCTGGGGTGCTGAACCTTTAGGGACCTCAGGTCATGAATCTTCACTGCACAGTGTGGCTGTTGTAGTCAATGTTGTACAGCATAACTGGACCCCACAATCCATATCAAGTGGTACTGAGTCAAATGGAAGCAGAGGGAGTCTCTGAGGGCTGGGATGGAGGTGCACACCTGATCCCAACACTAGGGAGGTGGAGACGGATGACCTTTATTGGAGACCAACCCTGGCTACATAATATCCTTTCTTAAAAGAACAAAATTGAGTTGGAAGAGTGTTTACTGAGAATTTGTGAAGTCCTGGGTTCAATGGCTAGCATTGCATAAATGGGTGTGGTCTACATAGCCAGTTCCAGGCCAGCTGGAGCTGCATAGTGAGACCCTATTTAAAACAAAGTTGTCTGGACCTGGGTTCAGTTCTCAGCACCCACAGGGCAGCTCACCACCACATATAACTCCAGTTCCAGTATATCTGACACTCTCTGTTGGCCTCCATGGACACCTGTGTGACACACAGAAATATACATAAAGAAAAATAAAAATAAAACTTTAATTACATTTGTCTATGTGTGAGCATGTGTGAGCATGAGTATGTGTACATGTGTGGAGGTCAGAGGTATCTCTGTCAATACTAGAGTTTATGTATCATCTGTCTCCACCTACACAGAGGTCAACACAGGAGTTGGTTCTCTCCTTCCACTGTGTGGGTCCCAGGGATAGAGCTCAGGTAGTCAGGCACTGCAGCATGGCCTACACCTGCTGAGCACTCTCTTTAGCCATGTTTCTGCGATGTCCCCATTGGGCTTCAGCAATGGGGGACTTTGGAGCAGCTGTGTGTCTGTGGGAGGAAGGAGGGACTTGGTTCTTCCTGTCTGCTTCTGTGGGCATCGCCACATGGCTTCATGTGGTGTCACCCACACACTGTTTCCTTCCTGCCGTGGTGGCTGGCACTGCAGCTTTGCCAGCAGGCAGATGGATTCTGGAAGACTGCTGGAGAGTGTCTCACATGATGGCAGTGTCTGCTTCTTAGAGGCTGATGTCCCATGCTTCCTAATTTCAGTAATCCTAAACCCTAGTTCATTCACTCAGCCCTAGAGGTGGGTGCTGCATCCAGAAAAAGCTTCCTTGATGGGTTCAGTGTCTCTTCTGTGCCCTTTCAGTTCCCTGACGTTTCGGTCCATTCTTCATGACTATAACAACATATCTGAGGTTGGGTAACGTATTTAGACTGGGGGTACGCTCAGTTGTGAGAGTGCTTGCCCAGCATGCCTGGGGCTCTGGGTACCACATAGACAGGGAGTGCTGTGCACACCTGTAATCCCAGCATATGGAGGGTAGGGCAAGACAGTCAGGAGCTAAATATCATCTTCAGCTACACTGAGAGTTAGAGGCCACCCTGGGCTAACTGCAGAGGCCATGGCGAGTGTCAAGTCACCTCTAGTGTGTGTACTCTGGTTTTTCTCTCCTCTTCTTTTTCTGTTTTTTCTTTTTCCCAATGCATTTTTATTTTTAAGCATAGGGTGTTTTGCCTGAGTGTATGTCCGTTTATATGTGACTGGTGCCCTTGGAGGCCAGAGGAGGATGTTGGATCCTGGGGAACTGAAGTTCCAGATGGCTGTGAGCAGCCATGTGGGTGCTGAGAATCAACCTGTTGTAGGAATCTAGTAGAATCATTGTATCTAGGGTAAAGATTAGAATGAAATAGTTGTTTTCACTGTATCTAGGGTAAACATCAGAATGAATAGTTGTTTTCTAGAAGTACTTAGACCTTGAAGAAATCAATGTGGAAAACAGTGAGTGCTTTGTTATCTGTAGAGTCCTGTTTCTGAAGCAGCTTTACAGCCTTTGCATGACTTTGGTCACAAGACTATCCTGGCACACCTGGATACTTTGCATTATTGGGTACTACAGATAGCACACAGGGAAGGACTAGAGTGGGGTGCGGTGCTTTCCTTCAGAAAAACATACCAACTAGATCAGGAGCTTTGGTATGAGGAACTTGTTTTATCCCCAAAACAACCTTACCACACCATGCACACAATAGATACCACAGCTTTGGATGTCATGGTCAGATTAGGTTAACATCATCTTTGCCTCCCAACCATTCTCCTTACCCCTTCTCTTTCTTTCTTTGTTTCTTTCTCCTTCCCTCCTTCCCTCTCTCCCTCCCTCCCTCCCTCTCTCACTCTCTCTCTTTCTTTCTTCTTCCTTTTTTTTTGAGACAGAGTTTCTTTGTGTAGACCTGGCTGTCCTGGAACTCACAGAGATCTGCCTGCCCCTGCCTCCTGAGAGCTGGCATTAAAGGCGTGCGTCATTACACCTGGCCACCCCTTTCTTTTGTAATGCTGGGGATTAAACCCAGGGTCTCTCATATGCTAGGCAAGCACTCCACCACTGAACCACATTCCAGGCCTTATTTTGGAGGGAATGAGTCTTACTCTGTAACTAGAGCTAGCCTTATCTCCTTGTCACCATGGCTTGCTAATGATTCTTTCTGTTAAAATTGCTCTTTTAGAACTTCCAAGATTTCTGTCTCCAATGGAACCATGACAGCTTCAGACTTGGAACCCCACAGAGTCTGACTGTAGGGTTCCAGTGGTGATAGGCAGCTAATCGCTGGAGGCCAGTTTGCCTGGAATCATCTTCTGACAGGCTCCATGTCCAAGCCACGCTCCTCTCCACCCAGGACCAAAGCTTGCTGCCACCACGTGCCGGTGTCTAGCTTGTCTCCAGCGTGGTCTGCTGATTTGCCTCAGGGCTCAGGCTCCCCTTCATCCTCACTGTAAGCCACAGTGTCAGCCTGCCCCTCCAGGCCCAGCATGCTCTGTGCTCATTTCTCTGAGTGTACGCTATTCTCCAGAATCACTCACAAGGAAACATGCTTCCATAACTTCAGGTACCCGACAGTGATTCCTGATGCCACCGGTCCTGGGCTCTCCTGGCTGGGCCATTCTGATTAACTCTTGGGGAGCCCCTGCTAGACCTCTTGTCACTGAGTCTCCTTTTTTGAGCTGTGACCACTCAAAAGCCCCTCTTGTTCCAGTGACGTCTGTCTGGGACTCCTCCATGCCCCACACCTGCCTTCCTGGCATGGGAGACATAACCCTCTCCTCGAGAAACCTGAACTTAGTCAACCTGATGCTTCCCTTAATTTCCCCGTCACTTTCTTGCCACTGCATGCTGGTTGTCAGACCCGTTTTTGAGCCATTTTCATTTCCCCTTCAGTCTGCCGCTCGGCTGGAGTCTGGCCACAGTCTGCCAGCAGCACATGGATGTCTTTTTTCGTAGCTTTTGGACTGGTGGTAATTCTGCTTTGTCTGCTGAGTGGCAGCAGAAGCAGTGGTTGGTACCTTAGAGACAGATTGTCTTGGTTCAAACCACCGCCTCTTCCATCAACTTGCTGTGTGACTTTGAACACATTTTTAACCTCTCTGGGCCTCCACCTCTTATGGAATGCACACTATCTCAGAGGATAGTGTGGCAAGACAGTGGATCCGAATGTATAAAACACAGAAAGGCATTTATCCAGAGGAAGTACTCACTATGCATTAGTGGTGGTTCTTCAAGTGGTGTGTGTGTGTGTGTGTGTGTGTGTGTGTGTGTGTGTGTATGTATGTGTGTGTGTGTATGTGTGTGTTTTCTCCAGTGTGGAGACTCAAGTCCGACATCAGTCTTCAATTCCTGTCTACTTTCCATGTCAAGGCAGGTCTGTGTCTGAGCCCGAAGCTGCTGTTCTGGCCAGTCTCCTCAGTCAGCTTGTTGTGGGCGTTTCCTGTCTCCACCTCCATCTATAGTCTGAGCTTTACCCACTGAACCATCTTCCCAGCCCCCTTTCCCTTTTTAACCTATTTATTTATGTATAGACATGATTTCACTGTGAAACCTTGGTTGGCCTGTAAGCTGCAATATAGACCAAGCTGGGCTCCAGCTCACAGGTCCTGCCTCTGCGTCTGTGTTGAGATTAAAGGCATGTGCCTCCATGCCTGACGTTTTTGCCTGTTTAGACCCACCAGGCTAGCCATAGAACTTGCTTTGATGTTGAGGATGACTTTGAATGATTGGCCATTCAGCCCCCACTGTTACACCCTTCCCCCACGGGGGTCTGTTGACTGCTTGTTACTGGGAGCTTTTAGCAAAACACTTCTCATCCCCTCCTCCCAGTAAGGCCTGCGTGCAAGTTCCTGTTTATTGTCTAAAAGCTAATTCCTGTTTTTGGCCCACTCCTTTGTGGGAGGGCCCTGGGAACATAGGCTTCTGACCTTGGTGTTTTTCCACCATACCTGCCTTTGGTATATAAGGCTCCACTCTTGTAAAAATAAACACCATTCCCCTTGTAAGAATAGCGGCTGTCTTTGTCTTTAAATTCATCCTTAGCCCTTAGCCTCGGATTATTGTGAAGTATGGTAGCACTGTAGCTGCAAACACACCGGCGGCATGCTACAGATGGAGGTCCCACTGAGATCGGAAAAGAAGAAGAACTGAATGCTGGCCAGCAAGTAAGGTAGGAGGGTGTATTTGGATAGGGTACCAAGTTTAGGGTACTGAGTTAGGCTCCAGAAGGTGGGTCAGCCCCCGTAGAGGGGTGATTTAAAAAGTTAGGCCCTAGAAGGTGGGTCAGCCCCTGTAGAGGGGTGATTTAAAAGGTTAGGTCCTAGAAGGTGGGTCAGCCCCCATAGAGGGGTGGTTTAGAGTTAGGCTCCAGCTCTGACTTGACACATTGGTGTCAAAATTGTCAGGGAATTGAGAGCCCACTCCCACAGAAAGCCAGCCAGCATTCTTCTTAAGGTTAACGTCCCGGGCAACCTAAGCCAGATGCTCATTTTTTAATTATATATAAAAGGGGGATTTGTTGCACCCTTCCCCCATGGGGGTCTGTTGACTGCTTGTTACTAGGGGCTTTTAGCAAAACACTTCTCATCCCCTCCTCCCAGTAAGGCCTGCATGCAAGTTCCCGTTTATTGTCTATTCCTGTTTTTGGCCCACCCCTTTGCGGGAGGGTCGTGGGAACATAGGCTTCTGACCTTGGTGTTTTTCCACCATACCTGACTTTGGTATATAAGGCTCTACCCTTGTAAAAATAAATGCCATTCTCCTTGTCTTTATTTTCATCCTTAGCCCTTAGCCTCGGATCGTTGTGAAGTATGGTAGCACTGTAGCTGCCAACACACCAGCTGCTCGCTACACCCCACCTCCTGAGTGCTGGGGTTGCAGGGATGTTACCACACCTGGTTTATGTGGTACTGGGGATCAAACCCAGGGTTTGGTGTGTGCAAGGCAGGTTTTCTGCCTACTGAACTACATCCTTGGACTTTCAGCGTCTTATTCACCCCGGGAAAAGACTCTTTCCCTAGAGGGCAGTTGGATGAAATGCACGTTTAGCACATGCAGACTGTGTTGGATACACTTACACTTGTCAAGCGGCAGAGGTCATTTGCACATTGCTGAGATGCAGCCGCAGAAATGACCCCAAGGCTGGAGACTCAGCCACTAAGAGCTGGCTAGGACTTAGGACTTCCAGACTGCATTTTCCCACACATCCAACCTCAGTGGGAGCCAATAGCAGTCTGGGGGACTGGTGTAGCTGTGGGTCTCTGGGAGCTGAGAATTCCTAAAGTACACCTTCCAGAGCTGGTTCTCAAGGGCAATTGACTATGGGGGACTTTGCCCTCCTCCTCAGCTGGGCAGAGAAAGCCAGTTTGGGAGATAGCTCAGTGGGTAAAGTGCTTGCCACTCAAGTGTGAGTCCCCAAAGAAGAACAAGGCAGCATACATCTGTAATCCCACTATGACGACATGTGAAGGAAATCCCTGGAAGCCTACAGGCTGTCTAGCATGGGATATGCACTGGTGAACAAGAGACCCTGCTTCAACAGGGTGGAAGGTGAGGACACAGACACAGACAGACAGACAGACACACACACACACATACACACTTCATGCACTTATTTTGAAAATGTTAAAGCTAGAATTATTCATTTTATTCTGTGTGTGAAGTCAGAACACAGCATCAGAAGAGGGTGTTCTTTGGATCCCCTGGAACTGGAATTATAAATGGTTGTGAGCTGTTATGTGGGTGCTGGGAATCAAACCCCCGACGACAGTGTTCATCTCCCCCTGCTTCAGACTGCAGACTAATGTAACGAGCTGCTTCAAGTTCTTCCTGCCACCCCTGCCCCATGGTGATGGACTGCTCCCTCAGACTAAGTCAACATAAACTCTTCCTTCTTTAAGTTGCTTCTTGTCAGGTATTTTGTCATAGCCATGAGAGAAGTAGCTGATACAACTTCATACTTTAGACCCTAAGTGTAACTAACTCCGTGCCCACAGAACTTCAGTAACAGATGAGGGAAACAGACCTGGGTGCTCAAATCCTGCATATCCCACAGAGAGTCTGTCCTGTCCTGAGCCCTAGGTCTGTCCTGCCTGGTGAGAGTGTTTTCGTTCATGACAGTCCTGGACCACACAGGATACCTTATGCTAGCAATGAGAATGCTTATTGTCATTATTTAGATTTGTTTATTTTATTGTATGTGTAGGAGTGTTTTGCCTGCACCTATGTCTATGCACCACATGCATACAATGCCTGTAGAGGCCAGGAGAGGGTGTCAGATCTCTTGGAACTGGAGTTACAGACTGTTGTGAACTGTTTGCTCTGTAGACACTGGGACCCAAACATGAATCCTCAGAGAGCAGGCAGTCCTACGAAACACCATGTCGTATCTCTCTAGCCTCACAATGTGATCTTTTAAAAAACATTTGTTGGATTATATTTCTTTTAAAAAAATATTTATTTTTAATGTACCGTGCGTGCGTGCGTGTGTGTGTGTGTGTGTGTGTGTGTGTGTGTGTGTGAGAGAGAGAGAGAGAGAGAGAGAGAGACATGTATGTGACCAAAGAGGCCAAAGAGAGAGTCATACAGACCTCTGGAGCTGGAGCTATGGGCAGCTCCCAACAGTAAGAGTGCAAGTGCTCTTAACTTCTGAGTCATTTCTCCACCCACCCATCCATCCATCCATCCATCCATCCATCCATCCACCCACCCACCCACCCACCTACCCATCCATCCATCCATCTATCCATCCATCCATCTATCCATATGTAAAGTTTTCTGGAGGCCTCAGTCATGTAGGCAGGTTATATTTTAACCCTTCTGTGTCCAACTGTCACAGAGATTAAATGGATATAGAAGGTCGTAGGCCCCCAGGGAAACAACCATAGACACCTGCTACAGATCACGTGACTGGAATGGGGGATTTATTGTAGCTCAGTGTAGCTCAGTGGTAGGTCTCAGGAAGTACTGTGATCAACCTTAGCGAGTATCTGAGGTTAAAAGTTCACATTGCTGCCATGGAAGATGGCTCAGCCCATACAAGTCTGGTGAGCTGAGTTCCACTCCCAGAACACACGTAAAAAAGATGGATTCACAAGTACAAGTGTATACAATCCCAGTGTGCTCTTCCAAGAAGATGGAAGGTGGGGACAAGAGAATTGCCTGGAAGCTGGTAAGCTCCTCGAGCAGTTTGGCTGGAGTAAACAGCACAGCAGAAATAACAGGGGAGCTGGCCTTTCAGCAAGGTGAAATAGAGAAATGCCTTTGGAAAGTCGCCCTCTGACCTCACAGGTGTGTCATAGCACACACAAGCCTCCCTCTTTCACATCACAAACAACCACCACCAAAAAAGACCGAATTCCCAACCCCAATTCTAAATCCAAGTCTGCTCAACTGGATGAGAGACCGAGTAAAAAGAGAAAACAATCAGATCAAAAATCAACTCCTTTAATCCCAGCACTGGGGGTATGAGGGGGTGGGGGATGGGATGGGCAGAGCCAGGAAGATCTCTGCATCAGAGGACAGCCTGGTCCACAGAGTGTGTTCCAGGACAGCCAGGGATACACAGAGAATCCCCCTCCCCTTTAAAATCAGCTCCATTCTTGGCCTGCTGGAGCCTAGCTTAGCAGGACATGTTGGCCCTGGGGATGACGCCAAGCCTCAGTGATGCTGTGCACTGTGAGCTCTGTCTGGGTGGCTGTCCTAAGGCAAAATGCTTCCCTCTGGAGAGGCCAATTTCTCTTTCCCTCAGACTCTTCCTTGCTCACTCAACACTCCCCATGTGGCACCCCTCCAGGGCAGCCGCAGGCAGGGCCAGTTGCTCCTGCAGACCGAGCTGTGGGTACCCAGAAGCACTGGTTTTTCTGCATGAAACCTGGGACCCAAATGTTAGTCCTTCAGGTGTTTCTTGGTCTTCTTTGTGTTGAGAGATGAAGATGAAAGGCTGTGATTACTCAATGTCCCTGCATCCATGGAGATTGAATTCCCATCTCCTGGCTTGTACAGCAAGTACTTGGTTAGCCATCACACTGTCTCTCTCTCTCTCTCTCTCTCTCTCTCTCTCTCTCTCTCTCTCTCTCTCTCTCTCTCTCTCTCTCTCTCAGATTCACAGACATCTACCTGCCCCTGCCTCCTGGGTGCTGGGATTAAAGGTGTGCACCACTATGGCACGGGGATGTTTGGTGAGTCTGGAGCTCACTAATTGTCTAGTCTGGAAGCCAGCAAGCTCCAGATCTCCAGACTCCACCTCCCCAGGGCTGAGGGTCGCAGCAGGTGTCACTTCATGCCTAGCTTTTTCCTTGGGCCATGAGGATCTGAGCTCAGCAAGTAGAGATGGAGTCATCTCTACTGCCCAGGGAAAGGTAAATTTTGATGAACTCTCTGGGGAATGCAGGCTTTGGCTCTGTTGAGGTTCCCAAGAGTTTCATAGCTCTTAGGACGTCCCAGACAGTGCACACAGTATCATCCCTGATGAATACGGTCAAGTGCTTGTTCCGTTTTGAACCTACAATGCCTTCTTTGTAAAAGCTCCCTCTTGAGTGCTTAGGCAAGGCAGGGCTCAGATGATGTCTCTCTGGAGAGATGCCGGCCTGGCCTGCATTCTCCTTGGAAGGGCACCATTTGTAAGATTGCAGCCTGCTCAGGAGAAGTAAGACTTATGTGCAGCTGGGGAGCATTGCTTCATATTAAACAGACCAGCTGAAGCTGGGTGGTGGTGCACGAGAGGCAGAGGCAGGTGGATCTCTGTGAGTTCGAGGCCAGCCTGGTTTACAAAGAATTCCAGGACAGCAAGGGCTACACAAAGAAATCCCGTCTTAAATAAAACAAAAAACCAAAAAATAAAACAAAAAACTAAAAAATCCAAACCAAACCAAAACAACAAAAAACCCAAATCCCCAAACAAACAAACAAACAAAAAAATTCCAAACTGGACGACAACAAAAACTCAAACAAACAACAGCCCAGCTGGGACATCCCCTGAGGACAGTGCTACACTCAATATTTCCCTCCCCACCTTTACAGTGGGCAGATTCCCAGAAGCCAGGGCCCAGACTCATGGTCTAGTTCTTAAACTCGGTGTGGTGGCACACAGCTGTAATCTCAAAACTTGGGAGGATCAACCATTTAAGATCACTCTGTGACACTGTGAGTTTGAGGCAAGCCTGGGCTACAAAAGACCCTGTCTCAACAGCAACAACAACAAATCTGGGGACATTATCCCGTTGGTAAATGCGAGGCCCTGAGTTCAAGTTCCCAGTACCTTCACAGACGCTAGGTGCACTGCTGCATATTGGCAAGCCCAGTGCTTGGGAAGTGGAGACACGGATCCCTGGGTGTGCTGACCAGCCAGTCTAGACCAAATGGTGACGTCCAGGTTCTGTGAGAGACCCTGCCTCCAAAAACCTGGAGAGTGATTGCAGGAAGGTTCTCCACATTGACCTCTGTCCTCCACATGCACCAGCACTCACACACACGCATGCACACATGCGCGCACACACACATGCACACACACACATGTACACACACACACACATGCACATACGGTACACACACACAGAGGCACACACAGAGGCACGCACACACAATCTGGTTTATAAATGAGGACAAGAAGTGACTCTCTCAGTACTACCTGCCCCCTCATCCCTTCTCTGTCAAGAAGCCTGAGTCAGCCCATGTGAGACCCGTGGATACTGCAGACGCCCAAGTGCTGATCTGGGACTGGGACCTTGGAGCCACCACCAGCTTCAGGCAGGCAGCCTCCCAGCTGAGGCATCATCCAGGTGAGGTGTGCAGAGCACTGACGAAGAAGCAGTACCTAGCCTGAAGGAGGGCTGGCAGTGGCCAGTGTGTGCCCTCCCTTCCTCATTTGGGAAGGGTTGCCTTGCATACATGGCTGTGATGTGTCATGAATCCTGCCTGCCTTTTGTTGGCTTCCGGCCTTCCCTGATGCAGCTTGTGGCCCATGGGGCCCATGTGACACGGATGTCACCCTATAAATGGGAGAGAACCCTGGAGGTGGGACATCCTGTGTCTATGGGGAAGGGGGCTCATTCTTCATGTGCTGGGACCTGCCGGTTCAATGAACAGAAGCCCAGCGAACAATAGCAGCTGGGGACAGCAGTTTCCAAGCCTGGCCTCTGGCTTTATGAAAGGTGACTTTGAACGGCTGCATTTGTTCCTGAGGTGGCCAGGGCAACTCAAAGTCCTGTGACAAAGGACTCTGCACGAGGCCTTGCTGTCGGGAACAGCGTTAGAGATAAAAGGCTCCTTCTTGGTGACTCTTTAAAATTTCCCTTTTCATGATCAACGTGTCAAATGCGCACGCCGTGGAGGGAGCGGTAAGATGAAGCCTCCTTGTCCCACGACCCCCCAGCCCCAGGGACCACAGCAGGGACTTAGTGCCCTGACTCTGTCCTACCTCCTCTCTCAATCACAAAGTAACTTCATGTAATTCCTTCTCTCAAAAGGATGATGTTTTCTCAAATAACTGCAAAGCCATTATCACGCCCAGCAAAGTAAATCTTAGCCACTTAGATAGGATTGACACACAGACCCACTGCGATCAGTCATCTTTGTTTGTCTTGAAAGTGTCCTTTGTCTCTGTGGTTGTTTGCAGGAATCTGAAAAGGCTTGGTGGCATTTGGCTGATAGTTCTGGGGAAGTCTTTCTGATCTTCAGCTGCCTTTTTAAATTTTTAATTTAATTATCATTATCTTTTGAGGCAGGATCCCACCGAGCAGCCTGGGCTGACCTGGAAGTCTCATGTAGACAAGCCTGGCCTTGAACTCACAAAGATCCACTTTCTTCTACTTCCCAAGAGCTGGGATTAAAGGGAATCTCCCAAGAGTCTATGGGGAGGACCCCAGTGGATAAGTAGCCTGAATTGGCCATCTCCTGGTCCAATTGCCATCAGAGAGGCGTCATTCAGCAACTGATGGAGGCAGATGCAGATGCAGATGCAGAGACCCGCAGTCAAACATTAGGCAGTATATGGGAATCCAGCGGAGAAGGAGTGTAGGAGCTAGAAGGGTTCAGGGCACCGTGGGAGAGCGCACACAATCAAGTAACCTGGGCTCATAGGGCCCAGCAGAGACTGAAGCAACAACCAGCGAGCCTCCATGAGACTGACCTAGGCACTCTGTATATATGTTACGGATGTATAGCTTGGTCCTCATATAGGACTCCTAACATCAGGAACAAGGGCTGTCTCTGACTCTCTTACTGGTTTTTGGGACCCTACTTCTCATACTGGGTCACCTTGCCCAGCCTTAATACATGGGGAGGTGCTTGGTCTTACTGCAACTTGATATACCTGTTTTATTGATAAGCATAGGAGACCTGCAGTTTCCTAGGTGGAGATGGAGGAGGGGATTTTGGGGTGTGGTGGGAGAATGGGGGAGAGGAACTGGGAGGGGAGGATGGGGGGGAGGCTGTGGCCGGGATATAAAATCAATAGATGAATAAAAAAAGATGTGTGCTGCTGTGTTCGGCATACCTTTCCTCTTTAAATAAAAACAGGCTTTTTATTATTTAAATCTTTAATTTTATTTTATAAGTATTGGTGTTTTGTCTGCATGTACTGTTTGTACTGTTTGTCTGTTTGTACTGTTGGACCCCAGCCCCACGGGGTCTCTGTGAGTTGCTGGTCAGCCTACAAGTGCAACCTGTTTTCCAGTCCAAGTGCTTCCTGTTTTCTAGTCCTGGCTTACTGCCCTGGCCTTGACCCTCTGACATCAACATCTAGCAGGAGGAAAACACAGTCTCTTTCACCTGGGGTATTTCCACTGTGCTGTAAGCCTGTACATAAGGCTGCTCCCTCCTACACGAGAGAGACCTCTTAACACTTACAATAAAGACAAACACACACACACACTCTCTCTCTCCTCCCCCCTCTGCACATACATTCTCTTAGTACAAGCAGCTGGACGTCTTGTCTTTCTTTTCCTGATACCTCGGACTTGCTTGTGGCGTGGGCGCCACAGTGTACTGCACACATGCCTGGTGCCCATGGAGATCAGAAGAGGCTGTTGGATGCCCTGGACCTGGAGTTAGGAATATTGATTGTGAGCTGCCATGTGGGTGCTGGGAATCAAACTTAGGTCCTCTGGAAGAGCAGCCATCGTAGCCCAAGTGTTGCCATCTCTTAGAAACCCAGTCCAAATTTAAAGTGTGTGTGTGTGTGTGTGTGTGTGTGTGTGTGTGTGTGTGGTCTAGAAGAGGACATTTGGGGTCTGGAGTTGGAGTTGAGATAGTTGTGAGCTGCCCAGTGTGAGTGCTGGGGCCTGAACTCTGGTCCTCTGCAAGAGCATCAAGCCCTCTTAAGCCTCAGTCTCCAGTTTCCTCAATACTTCCTGAAAATGGATGCCAGTTTGTGCTGTGCTTGGGAACTTTGCTGTTCTTTGTGTTGAGGCAGAGTCGCATGTAGCTGATGCTGACCCTGAACTCCAGGCTACAGGTCTACACCACTACACCAGGCATGGTCTGTGCCTTGGCTGCCTCCAGGCGTTAAGGGCTTGCTCCCCAGAACAGCACTACTGGGGGGTAGTGGAATCTCTAAGGGGCAGAAGGTTGTTAGGTCATTGGGGTGAGACAATGTGACCAACTCACCTTGCTCTCTCGAACTCACGGCGATCCTCCTGCCTCTGCCTCCCGAGTGCTGGGATTAAAGGCGTGCGCCACCACTGCTTGGCTAAACATTTTCTCTCTTTATTTTTTTACAGCAAGGAAAACTGATTACTACATCATGCCAGGAGACACACGTGGTCCTCTCTAATGATGCTATAGTAGACCGTGGCTTCAAAGCATGTCAGCCTGACTTCTCCAGGGTGACATTTCTGGTTTGGTATTTGCCCTCCAGTGTTGACATAGCAGTATTGACTCTCAACATCGAAGGACTCAGAATTACATGGACACAGTCTCTGGGCATGTCAGGGGGGATTATTTAGATTAGGCTGATTGAGGCTGAAAAGTGGGTGATACCACTCTGCCATTCTGTGGGCTGGGGCCTGAACTGAAAACACAGAAGGAAAGGAGCAGAGCGCCAGCATCCATGGCTCTGCTTCCCAGCTGCAGAGGCACCGTGACCAGCTGTCCCCTGTTCCTGTTGCCATGACATCCTGCCTTGGAGAACTGTGTGCCCTGGAACTGCAAGTCAGAATAAGCTTAGTCAGGTCATTTTCCACAGTCGAGACAGAAGCCCTCTGACTGGTACCTGATAGAAGGACCACGTGACCTTAATTATCAGAAGTTTGTGGCTTGCCTCAGGCTTTCAAACTCCTCTAGTGACTACCATCTGGTATCTGAGGGCGTGACTACCCTGAGACTGCCACATTGTGAGGAAGCCCACACCAGCCATTCAGAGCTGTCACAGCTCGAGAGAGGGGGCTGGGGAGATAGATAGTGGGAAAAGCGTTTGTCATACAAGCACAGGAACCTGAGTTCAAAGTCCCAGAACCCGTGTCAAAAGTCCGACATTGTAGCTAGCAGCCGCGTCTGTAATCCCAGGGCTCCTCTGGGACATCGGAGGCAGAGATGATAGAATCCCTAGAAGCAGTGAACAAGAGAGCCTGTCTCAAACAGTGTGGGAGTGAGAACTGGCACCTGGGTGTGTGTCACCGTTCCCTTGTGCTCACATACATATTCTATAAAAAACATTTAAAACGTGGAGAGATGGGGGTGGGGCTCCCCAGTCTCTACGGTCATCTTGGTGGAGGTTAAGGCCTGAGGAGGATAAGACCAACAAGACAGCCGCTGACGAACTTGACCTGCATAGGAGGCTCTGGGTGGGATCTGCTCAGCTGAGGCCAGTGGGCTCTAATGGCGCCAAGAATACAAACGTGTTTAGTCCACACAAATAGGAGTGGCTTGATATTAACCAGATATTCATCAGAGTTTCCTCTGATGTTGCAACCATTGCTGGCACAATTGTTTTCTCAGATTTCTTCTTTCAAAAAAGGCTTTCCTGTGTTTGCTTGATTTGTTTTATCTTTTTTCCAGACAAGGATTCATGTAGTACTGGTTGTCTAGAGCTCAATATGTAGTGGAGGATGATCTTGAATTTCTGATTCTCGTGTCTCCAAAGTGCTGGAATTTCAGGCATGCACCCTGTGCCTAGCTCATGTGATGCTGGGTTGGAACCCATGGCTTCAGGCACCCGGACAAGCTCCCGGGCAGCTGACCTATACCCCAGCCCTGGTTTTCTTTTTTCTCAGTGTCTGTTTTAGATTTATTTTATGTTTTGTGTATGGGTGTTTTGCCTGCACATGTGTCAGTGTACCACATATATGCCTGTGTCAGAAGAGGGCATCAGATCCCCTGGAGCTGAATGATGGGTGGTGGTGAATCACCATGTGGATGCTGAGAACTGAACCTGGGTCCTTTGCAAGAGCAATAATGCTCTTAACTGCTCAGCCATGTGTCCAGCCTCCTGTGTTTTCTTTTTTAAACTTAGGGCTAATTTATTATTATGACGGTGATGTGTGTATTTGCGAGTGTAAGTATGCTTATGAAAACACAATGACTTAAGCATGGTGAACAGGTTGCAGGAGTATGTTCTCTCCTTGTGCTGTGGGACCCAGAACTGAACTCAGGTTGTTAGGCTTGGGCAACAAACACCTGCTGAAACATTCTACCAGTCCTGCTTTTTAATTTTATATTCCCTGTTATACTGATGAGCAGAAATTCTTTCCCTCACCCTATGGCTTCTAAAGACGCAACTGTGGGATTCTTTTCTTTCCCTAGATGCCCCGCCCCTGCCTTGCAGGGGTGTGAGCTGCCCTTCTCTGGTTCTTGGATTGGATCAAGGCTGGAGAAAAGGACTGAGACAGGTGGGTAGAAAGATGCCTAGGGAGGTTGAACAGGGAACTTGGTTTCCAAGGCAACTGAGAGCTAGTCATCAAACCCTTGAGGATCATTCTTTGTCCTGCTAATAGCCAGGTGCTGTCACCTCTGCCACCTCAGACACTGGAGCAGGTTCCAGAAAGGGCCCCTCAGGGGAGGTGCACCTGTGAGAGTCTAGAAGCAGCCACTCCTCTTTTATCCTCAGATGCTTGCTCTTCTTCAAAAACACACCCTGCCCAAATCTCTCCCCACCTCCAGGGATGTCAGGTTTGGGGGTAAGGACTACACCCACGCTGCCTCCCAGGTGCTCCATGGGATGGGTCCTCTGCTAGGGTTTGGATGGTCCAGTCAAAGCTCAGGCTTGGTGTGAACAACAGGGGGGATGCCAGGACCCTGTAATCCCAGCACTTGGAAGGGTGAGATAAGAAGGAAGATGTTGAATTTGAGGTTAGCCTGATTATATAGTGAGACTTCCATTTGAAGAATCAAATATGGGGTTGGGATGTCGCTCAGCTGGTAATTGCACCCACATAGCCTCTGAAGACCCTCTGTATCTTCAGTTCCAGGAATCCGGTGCCCTGTTTTGGCCTCATGGCTCCAGGCACGCCCATGGTACACTAACATACATGTAGGCAAAGCACCCATACATGTACATGAGAAATAAATGAATAAAATAAAGACGTGGGACTTTCACTGGGTAATTGGGCTTGAAGGCTCTGTCTTCCCAGTGGGACTAATGATGCTATTGAAGGAGTGGTTTGCTATCACAGGAGGGGGCTTCCCATGAAAATGACTTCTGTCTGATTTCCTTTCTTCTGCCTGGTGCTAGCCCCTCAGCCATGATGATTTGCCTGGAGGACCTCAGAAGATAAATCCCATTGATCCCGGACTTCTAGCCTCCAGAACAATGAGGCAAACATCTTCTATAGATTAGAATTTACTCAGTCTGTGGTTTTGTGTTATTTATCTACAAGAAAACAATACCTTTATTTGTTTTAAATCATTATTTTTATGTATGCATATGTGTGTCTGTATAAATATATGCTGCATATATGTGTGGTTGTCTGCTGCCAGAAGAGGGTATTGGATCTCTTGGAATTGGAGTTCTAGGCAGTTGTGAGTGCTGGGTGGGAACCAAACCCAGATCCTCTGGAGGAGCAGGGAGCACTCTTAATTGCTGAGTCTTCTCTCCAGTCCCCACAGCACTTTCTTCCGAGCACCTCCTAGACTTGTCCCTGAGATCTTGGAGCCTGAGACTCTACTGCTCCTGTGTTATAGGGATGGCAGCCCGAGTCTGACCCCCAGATAGAAAGTGGATGTTCATTGTATGTCTGAGTCATAAGGGACTCTCCTGAGTCCCTGGATGCTGTGTAAGGTCTGCTGGAGGCAAAGGAGAGCCATCTGGCACTGAGCACGGACCATGTGCCAGGCTGATGTAGGACTGCCCAGCACTGCAGAGTTCCTGGCTGCAGCATGATAGCACCTGCATCTCATAGAGAGAATGGGGCCTGGACAGGTATGTCTGTGCTCCAGGGTCACCCACAGCACCTCCTGCTGTTGACTTGTGGGATGGAGTTTAGACCTGAGTCACAGGAAGCCAGAGAAAGTTAGGTGTCTCGTTCAGTTTTTCTCTTCCTCTTTGATTATTTTTTAACATGAGTGTATGTGTGAGGTGTGTGTATGTGTTGTAGAATATTTGTTGCTTGAAATGTATTTTACTCTTTTGGCTTTTTGGGGGCCCTACCACTCAGCTCCCAAATAAATCAAACATGGAGGCTTATTCTTAGTTATGAGTGCCCGGCCTTAGCTTGGCTTGTTGCTAGCCAGCTTTTCTAACTTAAATTAATCCAACTACCTTTTCCCTCTGGGCTTTTATCTTTCTTACTTCTGTATATCTTACTTTATTCTTACTCCGGGGCTGGCTGGGTGGCTGGGCCCTGATATCCTCCTCTCCTTGTTCTCCCAATCTTTCTCTTCCTTGTTTCTCCTTCTATTTCTCCTCTCTGCCTGCCAGCCCCGCCTATCCTTACTCCTGCCTCACTATTGATCATTCAGCTCCTTATTAGATCATTAGGTGTTTTAGTCAGGCAAATAATCACAGTTTTACAGAGTTAAACAAATGTTACACATCTTAAAATAATATTCTACTACAAACACTATTTTATGTAATGGTGTTACTTTTGCTTATTCTGTATTTATTTAATAATGTAAAGATGTGTTGCTGTTTTACCTTGCCTGTCTAAGGTTCCTGATTATTCTAATAAAAAGCTGAATGGTCAATAGCTAGGCAGAGGAAGGGTAGGTAGGGCTGGTGGGCAAAGAGAATCAGTAGGAGGAGGAATCTAACCTCCAGAGAGACAGAAGAGAGAACGAAGGAGAAAGAGACTCCAGGACTCAGCCAGTCAGGCGGCTACCAGCCAGCCAGACACAGAAGAAGCAGAAAAAGTAGGACATACAGATTGAAAGATAAAAAGTTCCAAGGCAAAACATAGATGAAGAGAAACAGGTTAAATTAATTTATAAGAGCTAGCAGGACAAACATAAGGTTGAGCATTCATAACTAATAATAAGTCTCCATGTTATGATTTGCGAGTTGCCTGGTGGCCCAAAAGAAAGCCTGTTATATGTGTGTGAGAGGTGTGTGTGTTCATATGAGCGTGTATAAGTGTGGTGTGTGTGCGTGTTCATATGAGTGTGTATGTGTATAGTGTGTGTTCATATCAGTGTGCATGTGTGTGGTGTATGTGTTCATATGAGTGTATGTGTATGATGTGTGTGTGGTGTGTGTGTGTGTGTGTGTCTGTATAAGTGTGTGTGTGAGTCTCATTCTTTAAACAAGGCCTCTCAAGCGAACTCAGAGCTTGCTGACTAGGCTAGTCTGGCTAGCCAACTTTGCTCTGGGCATCTCCAGCCTCTGCCTTCTGAGTGCTGGCAGTTTTATAAATGCTGGGGATCTGAACTTGGGTCCTGTGTGTGGAAGGTCCTTTAGCGCATCTTCAGCCCTATGCTGTTGTTACAATTTATCATTATTTGGACTTTGTTTTCAGACAGGGTCTCAATGTGTAGTCCTGGCTAGCCTGTAAGTTGTTATCCAGACAAGGTTGGTCTAGAACTCACAGAAATCCAACTGCTTCTGCCTCCCCACTGCTGGATTAAAGGGGTACAGCACCATGTCTGGCTCCCACTTTCTGCAGATAGTCTCTCTCTGAACCCAGAATTCTCCAGTTTGTCCTGATGACTTGCTAGGGAGCTCCAGGGGTCTTGCCCTCTCTCCTGGCAGTGCTGGGGCTGCAGATGTGTGTTCTTGTGCCTGGATTTTGCATGGTTCTGTTCTGGGAATCCAAACTCATGTCCTCATGCTTGCGGAATAAACACCTACTAAGCTATCTTCCCAGAACCTGACCTTTAAAAGAATTTGTTTGTTTTTTATTTTTACATACCTTTAATGGTGTGTAGCTTTTCTAGCTGGTCCATTATGAATATAAAGGGTCAACTTGAGTCTCCCTCTGATTGGTGCCTGGGTTCCAAGTGTGACACGTGACTCAGATAACAGTTAGGGGACTGTGCAAAGCAGGCAGTCTTGGTCCCCCTGGCTTCATATTGGGCAGGAGGAGTCTGACTGTGGTATACACTCACACATGTGCTGGGCAGTCTGGGTTTTATGCCTTTCTCTGGTATAGGATGGACCTCACTTACTCTCAGTAGTATCCGGTAGCGTTTCAATGGTTCAATAGAGGGAAAATGCCTGTACACACAGCATTTCCTATCAGAATGAAGGGCCAGACAAACCAGCCCCTGCCAACCTTGGGAACAAATGTCATCACCTCCTGTGACATCACTATCTGAACCCAGTTACAGGAACTCACAAGTCACTTCTCTGAACCCAAAAGTCACTGTGTGGTTTGTTTGGCTTATGGTCAGGAGGGGTCATCACCACCAAAATGGAGAAGAGGACCCTGGAGCTTCTGAACACCATCTTCCCTTAGTCTAGCTACTATGACTTCCCAGTTGTCTCTGCACATCCTAAGACTTCCGTCCCCAGACCATAGCAGACTGAGGGCAAGTGTTCAGAACTGCCCGGCCCCATTGCTTCTGTCCTTTGAGGGAAGGTATTGTGGAGCCATTTGTACTATCTTAGGGTCTCTTTGAGAGAGTCTTTTCTGGTGCAGGCTTGGCACAAGGGAGTTGGGGTATGAAGTGTTCCCCCAGATGGAGCCTCCTTTGGCCTGGAGGCTACCCAGCCTGAAGTGTGAGCTTGGGCAAGGTACATGCCAGGCCGGCCCTCAGAGCTCAGAGATGTCTGCTTCCCATGCCCTTCATCCTATTGTCTGTTGGGGCCACAATGAGAAGACTTTTCACAACAGGATGAGCCAACTGAAAAAGCCACACACAGTTAAAAGTAAACAATCAAATAAAGTCTTCTAGTCAGTGGAAACCTTGGCAGAGACTAAGGCATGAATCCCATCTCACTGACAGTGAGTTCACTTTGTCACCTATAAAAGGGTGATGATAATTCCTATCTCAGAGGGTGTGATTCATGTGCCAACAGGGACTGTTTCATTTCCAAAATTTAAATTGTCTTAGCTCTGCCAGCCTTTTATATCCAATTCAGTCTGACTCCAGGCAGGAGGCAATCTGGTCTCATCCATCTATGGGTGGTTCTCCCCAAAGCCGCCTCAGGGGACCTCGTACAGCTCTCAGTTTTGGGGACTGGTTTATGTTTGTGTTGCTGTGACCAAGATGCCCGATAGAGACAGCCTAAGCTCATCACAGTAGGGAAGGCATGGCATCGGGAGTGTGTAGCAGAGGTTGTTCATGTCATGAAGGAACAAGGACCTGATGAGATCTTCAAATGATGCTCCCTTGTGACGCCACCTCCTAAGGGCTCTGCAGCTTCTGGAAACAGCACCGCCATCTGGGGACCAAGTACCCAAATCCAGGCCTGTGGGGGTGCTTCAGATTCACAGCCCACAGAGACCAGCCCAGACTCTATTCCAACCTACACAGTTGCCATGGAAATGTCCTTTGCTATACCCTGTGGTCTCTTGGTGTCCTTGGAGTTAGGGTCCAACCTCACTCTGGCACCACGACTGGTCCATCCCCTCATTGGTTTCTGTGAGTCACAGGCCCTAGGACCTCCTTCCTTAGAGAACCTGGGAGCTCTGCCCATCTCTAGCTCTGAGACCATTTCTCCCCCTCTGCTCTCAGCTACCCTTACCCTTCCATGCCTCCCTGGACAAGCTTCCTATGCATTTGGGTTTTTATAGACAGGAGTTCTGAGGAGACTTAGCTTTGGACCTATGGCTGTGGTCTTTGAGAGACAGGGGAAACCAAGGGGACAGCTTCACCTGGCTTCATTTGGTGACTTCAGTGAGTGTGGAGGGATGCTGCTCACTGGCTTGTTCAGCCTGCTTCCTTATAGAACCCAGGACACCAGCCCAAGTGTGGCCCCACCCACATTGACCAGGGCCCTCTCACATCAATCAGTAACAAAGAAAATGTCCTACAGTCCTGGTTTCTGCCTGATCTTACGGAGGCATTTTCTCAACGTAGGTTCTCTCCTTCCAGACGAACCTAGTTGTGTGACACTGACATAGAACTATCCAGTATAATGTATTTCTTTCTATCTTTCTGTCTGTCTGCCTGCCCGCCCGCCCGCCCTCCCTCCCTCCCTCCCTCCTTTTCTCCCTCCCTCCCTCCCTCCCTCCCTCCCTCCCTCCCTCACCCCCCTCCCTCCTTCTCTCCCTCCCTCCCTCCTTTTCTCCCTCCCTCCCTCCCTCCCTCCCTCACCTCCCTCTCTCCCTCCCTCTCTCCCTCCCTCCCTCCCTCCCTCACCCCCTCCCTCCCTCCCTTCCTTTTTTTCCTTTTTGAGACAGGGTTTCCTCTGTATAGCCATGACTGTCCTGGAGCTAGCCCTATAGACCAGGCTGACCTCAAACTTGGAGATCCAACTGCTTCTGCCTTCTGAGTGCTAGGATTAAAGGTGTAATGCCACCACTGCCCAGCTGTTGATTTTCATTTTTTATTTTTTGAGACAGGATACTGCATAGCTG